TTTATCTTTGTTGCATAGGTGTGTTTCTTGGATGCAACAGAATGTTGGGTCCTGTTTCCGTAACCATTCTGTTAGCCTGTGTCTTTTTATTGGTGAGTTGACCCATTAATATTGATAGATAATATTGACCAATGCATGTTAGTTCCTTTTGTAATGGAGTCGATGATCTTACCTTGTTTCATTGCTTGTTTTCTTTTCATTTTTGTTGGGATTTTATCTGTATGCCCTGTTTTCTTGGGTGAATTCGTTTTCGTTGGATTGGAGTTTTCCTTCTAGTATCTTCTGTAGGGTTGGTTTGCTGTATAGATATTGCGTAAATTTAGTTTTGTCATGGAATATTTTGTTTTCTCCATCTATGTTGATTGAAAGCTTTGCAGGGTATAGTAGTCTCGGTTGACATTTGTGATCTCTTAGAGTCTCCATGATGCTTGCCCAGGCCCTTCTGGCTTTCATAGTTTCTGATGAGAAGTCTGGTGTGATTCTGATAGGTCTACCTTCATATGTTACTTGGCCTTTTTCCCTTGCTGCTTTTAATATCTTTTCTTTGTTCTGTAGATTTAGTGTTTTGACTATGATGTGACGTGATGTGTTTCTTTTCTGGTCTAGTCTATTTGGTGTTCTGTAGGCCTCTTGTATATTTATGGACATCTCTTTCTTTAAGTTGGGAAAATTTTCTTCTATGATTTTTTTGAAAATATTTTCTGGACCTTGGAGCCTGGAGTCTTCTTTTTCATCAATTCCTATTATTCTTAGATTTTGTCTTTTCATAGCATCCTTGATTTCTTGGATATTTTGTGATTGGAATTTTTCTGATTTTACTTTTTCTTTGAGAGAAGTATCAATTTCTGCAAGTGTGTCTTCAGCTCCAGAGATTCTCTCTTCCATCTCTTGTATTCTGTTGGTGATGCTTACTTTTGTGGTTCCTGATCTTTTCTCCAAGTTCTCCAGCTCAAGAGTTTTCTCATTTTGTGTTTGCTTTATTGATTCTAATTCTGTTTTCATGCCTTGCACCATTTCTTTTATGTGTTTGAATTTGGATTCCTGTCTCTCTACGATGGACTCTATTTCTTTGTTCATTTCCTTTTTGTATGCCACTAATTTTTTCTCTACTTGTGCCTCTATTTGTTTGGCTATGTTTGCCTGTGTTTCTTTAAGGGTTTTGTCTATTTCTTCTTTCTTTATCTCCAATTGACTGGCCAACTCAAAGGATCGTTTCTCACCTTCCCCAAACAAGTCCCTGGGTGACCCCGAGACCAAGGTTTTCACCTCCTGCGATGTTCCCTGTTGTTTAGAAAGTTTCTCCGTTGTTTCCCTGGCTTCAGAAGTTCTTCCACTCATCAACTCAGAACTTTATCTCTTCCACAGCTTGGAAACTGTGTGTGCTAGTCGCCATCTTGGCTCCGCCCCTCGCATCTCTTCTCTATACTTTTCATTTAACTGTATAATTTTATCTTTATAAATTCAACTATTTTAGCTTCTCATTAATAGATCTCCATGTGAATATTCACACACTTTTATTATTCCAAAGAAAACTTAGAAAGTGATTGGTGGCACAGATGTATTTGATACTTTATGCAAATAAAAAGGCATGAAACTTAAGAGGAATTCTTTTGTAAACCTTGAGGGATTAGGAAAGACACATAAGATGTATTTATACAGTAAATTATGTTTTTGTGCATATATTGCTGCACATTGTTAGAAATCAGCATCGTTTTTATGTTGACATTATGTTTGCTTATCAAATTGATAAATCAAAGAATGTATTGAAACAATGGTGTACTCACTGTTGTATGGGCTAAATAAAAAGATGTCTTTTCACCAGAAAACAGCAAGAAATCTATTTAATGCATCCGGGCTTAATGTGCAAGAAAAAAGATAAAACAACATTTAAACTCTCTTTATTATTTTAATTTAGAGAATTATATAATGTACAAAGAAGAACAGAATATAAAAATAAAGATCAAGCCAGTAAAAATAAATAAAGCTTTTTTTTTTCAGCAGAAATTAAGTGTGTATCTGAAGTGGTGCATTCACTTAGAGACACATATACACTGAATTAGATAAAAATAGATACCACAGGTTGTTTGAGTGACAAAATACTCCAAGTTAGCAAGCACTTGGGGCATCATAGAGGAAAATAAGTTTGATCACAAGAAAAAGAGGATATCAGAGGCCTTTCCTCAGATGAGACATTTAAAGAAGGTCTATGGTGATTGACAAGCAAAGCTTTCTCTCACTGTAAGCAATTTAGATTTTCACACAATGCACAGAAATGAATCCTAAAAGGTACTGATGATGTCTGCATGAAAATGCAACACATTAGAAAAATAATGAATTATGTGTACAACCACCATTTAAGCACTGTTTTACAACTCCCACTCTTTTTTTTTAATTTTATTTTATTCTTATCAGTTACATTTTATTAACTCTGTATCCCAGCCATGTCCCCATCCCTCATTCCCTCCCAGTCCCTCCCTCCCTCCCTCATCTCCACCGTGCCCCTTGCCAAGTCCACTGATAGGGAGGACCTCCTCCCCATTCATCTGATCCTGTTTTATCAGGTATCTTCAGGACCAACTCCCACTCTTTCTAAAGAGTTCCAAGCTAAACCACCAAAATATGTAGTTTTTACACGCTAAGAATATTTGATGTTATCCTATATCTCTCATTAGAATTACAATCCAGTGCTCTTCAGTAAAAGAGGGTGAAGTCTGTTTTTGTTCTGCATGAATTCTTCCAGAGCATTTAGAAGTTTAGCTACCCAGAAGAATGTTAGCATTTAATTATGCTGATACTTTGTACTTGCTAACCATTTTAATGGAAAACAAAGAATGAAGGAATCAGATCTTATGTAGATTTCAAAAGAAAGCACTCTGTAGTCTTTTCCCTGTCCTATAAAGGACAGCTTTTACATCTTTGTTCCTTAAGCTGTAGATCAAGGGATTCAACATGGGGATAATCAATGTGTAAAAGATTGAAGCCACTTTATCAGTGTCAAAGGAGTGCCTAGATTTGGGTTGAACATACATAAATATCAGCGTCCCATAGAAAACAGTGACTACTGTTAGGTGGGACCCACAGGTGGAGAAAGCCTTGTGTCTGCCCTCAGCAGAGTTCATCCTGAGAATGGCCATTAGGATGAGCAGATAGGACACAAGAACAACTAAAAGAGAAAAAATCAAATTAAAAGCTGATAAGAACAACATTACCACTTCAATTTCTTGTGTGTTTGAGCAGACCAAAGATAACAAAGGGAGACTGTCACAATAGAAGTGACTGATGACGTTGGATCCACAGAAGGAGAACGTGAAAATCTTAATTGTAATTTGAAGAGCCACAATTGTACAGTAAAGATAAGGGATTGCCACGAGCATCCAACATACTCTTTTTGACATGATGACCATATAAAGCAAAGGCTTGCAGATGGCTACATAGTGGTCATAGGACATTGCAGACAGTATAAAAAGTTCACAAGCAATGAACAGAAGAAAGATGGCTAACTGTGTAGCACAAAGGTTAAGGGATATTCTATTTTGATCAACAATAAAATTTGTTAACATTTTGGGTCCCACGGCTGTTGAATACCCAATATCTGTAGCAGCGAGGTGTCTGAGAAAGAAGTACATGGGTGTTTGCAGCCTGGAATCCACCATGGTGAGGATAATCAGGCCCACATTGCCCACCAGTGAGACCAGATAGATTAGGAGGAACAGTCCGAATAATGGGGCCTGAAGCTCAGGGCGGTCAGTGATGCCCATCAGGATGAACTCAGTCACTGCCGTGAGGCTGTGGTTCTCCATCACAGCTTATCAGAAAGCCTGTTCTGGTTAGAGAAATCAGCATCATTACTGGAGTTAAATTATTGTTAATTGGAGGAGTTTGTTACGAATAAACATATACCTAATTTTTCAATATTTAATGTTTAAAATTACATCTTTAAAACACTTATATAATACGCCTGCCCCTAATATTTACTGTGATGTTTAACCACTTTCATGATAGGTAGACAGTAGGCAAAAACATAGCTGAAAATAGAGATTAGAGATATAAAATTTATTGATATGCATATTAAAATAAAGTTTTATTTTCAAAACTTTGGATGCTACTTATGTGGATGTTTATTTCACTTCTTTAAAATTTTTATTAGTCATTTCTACAATTAAAATTAATAGTGCCATGTAATCATTTAATATGTTGTAATTCACATGTAACTATGCTGCAAGAACAGCTGACATTAGAAAAATGCATCAGCTCTACTTTAGAAGCAAATCATTCAATGCTTATACTTAAAAACAGAGCAGTTAAAAGTGTAAGACATGGAACATATTGAGTAGATGTGTAAGAACAACATAGCAGACCAACCACAAACTGGATTTGTATCAAGAAACCAAAGACAATATAGTCACATATATCTGTGATGTATTTTAACATAGTGTACACAAAGGTAAATTTTGGCAAATACTTCATGGAAAACTTTTTATGGCATGTCCCAAACAGATGTAACTATACATGTTTTGGAGAAAGGAAGCATGTCTTTATTTTATATTGCATCTATACTTCCACAAATGGCTCACGAAAGTCACATGAATATACGTTTTTAATTTTTAGTCAGGGCTTAAACTTATCATAAAGGGATTTTGTTCACAAGTGTTTGTGTACATCCCACTGGACACGACTCTTTACTGATCTGAAATGATAAGTAGGTAGGGAATTAGGTAAAATGTCTTGTTGTTCATTAGACCTGTTTCAATCTTTCTCTCCTCTGTGTCAAGAGTAACACTGATGTGCTTCAATTGATTCTTGATGTTTTCATAAATCATTAAAAAATAATATGTCTATGTGATATAATGTATGGTCTAAATAACTTTTCTAGGGATATTTTAAATATAATTTTGATAAATTTATTTGTATATTTTAGTGAAGAACCTAGAAACATACAAAGACATCTGATCAAATTAGCAAGAATGGTTGTTATTATTGGTTTAATAATGAAGACTCAAAATTCTCCTTGGATAAAAGAGAAAGAAGTGTATTTTCTTACAGAACATTTTAATACTTTAAATTCCACATATTTTTACTATGGTTAACAACATTGTAAACATAAATTGAAATTAAAATTAAAATAATTACATGAATATTCTGATGTGATTTAAATCTACCTGTGCATTATGTACACATCTTTTTGTTAGTAATTTTTGTTTTGTTTTGTTTGCAAATCTAATATAGAACACTTTAGAGGTAACTTCTAAAATAATAGGATATATGTGAACACACTTAATATCCCATAGACTAAAATATAGAATAGTAAACATTATTAATTTTGTTGAATATTATGCACACCATCATTGGCTGAATAAGAAGAGATTACAAACATGACTTTCATAGTAAGCATACTTCATTTGTAAAAGATAAATTAATAATAAGTGAATCAGTCTGTATGTGCACATATGTTATAAGAATTAACATTTTTCATTTAAGTATTAAACAACATGAAATGATAAGTGTGAGAGCGATATAATTGCTTCAGGTGTATAATAGGAAATTTAGAAAGTACAGAATTGGAATTAGAGATGGACGCGGAGAGATTTCAGGGAGAGAACAAAATGTAACAATATTTGAATTCATAGATGGTTATGTCACAGTCCTTTACCTCTCTGGAACAACTGTCTTGAATTCCTGGTGTGGTTCTTAACCTGAGGTTTTGGAGGTCAATTTATGCATTTTGTAAAGCTACAGAAACTCTTTTCCCTAAGGATCTTCTAAGTAAATTAGTGGTTACATGAAAATAATTTGAGAGCCTAATGAGATGTCTAGAGGTTATAAACTAAATTTCAGGGAAAATTGCTATTTAACTATAACTTTATCTATCTCTCTCACTCCATCTCTCTATTGATATCTCTATCTCTCTATCTATCTATCTTACAATATGGAAATCCAACTTATGTAAATCTCTCCATATGTATTAGTGCTAGGATCTTAAAGGTATGAGTACTCCCACATTTACTATAGCCAGTATACTAGCCAACATGTAAAAATCTACTTAAAAAAAAAAACAATTCAAAAACTAACAAATAAAAAAAGAAGAACTAATAAATAGAATTTTACTGAATATTGAAAATCTTAAAGGTGAATTAATTTGAACTATATGGTAACTTGGTTCGACTTGCAGAGAATATGATGACTAACCAAAGCAGACACAGCAAAGAAAATATTGCATGAATCCCATTTAATTAAATAAATGCATCCTGGGTATAGACCCAAGAAATGTCCCACCATTCAATAAGGACATTTGCTCAACTATGTTCATAGCAGGTTTATTTATAACAGCCAGAATCTGCAAACAACCTCGATGTCCCTCAGTGGAGGAATGGATACAGAAATTGTGGTATATCTACGCAATAGAATACTACTCACCTATTAAAAACAAGGAAATCATGAAATTTGCAGGCAAATAGTGGGAACTAGAAAACAACATCCTGGGTGAGGTATTCCAGAAGCAGAAAGACACACATGGTGTATACTCAATGATAAGTGGATATTAGCCATATAATATAAATACTAAAATCTATAGTCTTAAAGAAGCTAAACAACAGGAAGGACTCTAGGGAAGAGGCTAAAATCTCACTCAGAAGGGCAAACAGGATAGACATCGGAAGTGGGAAAAGACAAGGAACAGGACAGGAGCTTTCCACAGGGTGCCTCTGAAAGACAATTCATCAGGATATCGAAGGAGATACTGAGACTCATAGCCTAATTTTGGACAGAGTGCAGGAAACCTTATGGAACAAGAGGGAGATAGAAAGATATGGAAAGGACAGGAACTCCACCAGAAGACCAACTGAGCCTAAACATTTGGGCCCGGGGGGCCTGCAGAAACTGATACTCCAACCAAGGATCATGTATGGAGACCCCCTGCTGAGTGGAAGCCGATAATGGCTCAGTTTCCAAGTGGGTTCCCTAGTTATGGAAGAAGGGGCTGTATCTGTCATGAACTTAAGGGCTGGCTCTTTGATCATCTTTCCCTGGGGGATGAGGGGGTGTAACTTTGCCAGGCCAGGCCACAAAGGATATGATGCAGCCAGCCCTGATGAGACCTGATAGGCTAGGGTCAGATAGAAGGGGAGTAGGTCCTTCCTTATCAGTGGACTAGGGAGGGGTATAGGAGTAGAAGAGGGAGGGTGTGTGAGGCTGGGAGGAGATGAGGGAGAGGGCTATAACTGGAATACAAAGTGAATAAATTTTAATAAATAAATAAATAAATAGATAAATAAATAAATAAATGCTTAACGTCCTTAGTCATCAGAGAATGCAACTCTGTGCACAAGAACTACATGAGTCAAAGCAGACACAATTCAAAGCATTAATGAAGAAGTCGTGAGGAAGTCCCAACCTGAGCTGGGAATCTCCTGATTACAATTGGTTAGTGCTTAGTATGTGAGAGTCATTACTGTTCCAGGATACATGACCTGCTGAATTCAGATTTTAAAGGCTTATTCATTGTATTGTCTTTGTATCAAAACTTAATATATAGCTTGTTTAACTAATCAAATAAAAGCTTTCTTTATTTTATATGGATTCACTAGTATCTTTATTTTGAAGTATATTCATTAATCAGGAAATTTACAAATATTTTAAAGAGAACTAATTTTGACTTTAATATTGCCTATTCTGAGGTTAGCTTTTTTCCCATTCTGTAAAACCTTGATTTTAATCGATAGACATTATAATAAATCAGAATTTGAAAAAAGCATGTAATTTGCTCAACACACTCAATAATTGACATAGTTATTAAATAAAATTACTTAATAAATGTAGAAAAACTAATCTTGTAATTTTAGATTTCAGCCTTCTAACATACTTCAGATATTCTGCTATTCACTTGAACTCAAGGAACAGACACACAAGTTAGAATACCCATTTAATATCCTCAGCTCACCTTATTTGTATTCATTTTACCGTCAGTGATAAAACCTACAGGAAATGCTCCAGAAGAATTATGCTTCATTTAGCAAAGATTATGCCTCGTACAGTTAGAAATTAGCAAAATGAAAATACGGTGATTGATGGGAAAAACCTAAACAATACAAACAACTACAAACACAAACAAACAAACAAAACACCTTGGTTATTCAGGAATAGAGTCATTTCTGCTGTTGTTCTCTGTAATTATAGATAGATATAGAGATAGAGATAGAGATAGAGATAGAGATAGAGATATAGGCAGTATTTAAAACACTTTTGATCCTATTACCAAGAATATTTGTGATGTTGATGTTGAATTTGTTTTTCACACATGGTTCAGAGTTTTACTCTTTTGAAAAAAATAGTGTTGAAACTAATTCGCAAGTTTTTTACATTAAATTTTTGTTATATTTTAATAGCTAGTTACAGGTTTTTTATTTAAATCTTGTATCATATATTTTTTTTTATATCCAGAGATGTTTTTTCAGTAACCAAGAATGCCCAAGGCCCTGTCTCAATTCCTCACACCAAGAATGGCAAAGTTTGATTATTCATATACAATTTAAATACTAATTTTTTATAGTTTTTATTATCAGTTTTATTTTCTTGTGATAAGTTTCTCTACTGCAGACACTTTAAGGTTATATTTGGTTCCACTCATCTAATATTGTGTTGTATTGGCTCTGCTGTCAAATACACAAAAAGTTTTCAAGCAATGCTGGAAGTTATTTCTTTATTAATGTTTCTGGGCTTTTTCATTTTTCAAGCTATCTATTAGCCTAGATTTGCCTCAGACTAACCATGCAGCCCAGGCTAACCTTGGAAGCCTGATCCTCTTGGCTCTACATTACAATTCATTGTTGTTAGTACACTTTTGAACTAAATTTCATTTATGTTTCTTATGCATCTTACTCCCTTCCCCACCCCAGGCCCTTCCAACACCTCGATTCTAGGCAGGAAAGAAAGGAGGTTAGTGGGGAGAGAGGTGGAATTCTCTTTAGCTACTTCCTCATGGGCGAAGTTCTAGGGTTTCTTAGGGCACGTCCAGTCCTCACTGCAGGATATCTCCAACTTCTTCTCATCCAATTGCATCAACAGCCATCAGGAGCAGCATGGGGTGGGCCACCAGCAGCCTTCTTTCTTGGAGCGTTCCTTCTCTCTCTGGGCCCAGGCATTTTATTTCCTCTCCAGAGTCCTAAGATCTAAACTATCTGCTGTTAGCAAAGAGCCCCTCTCGAAGCATCAGGAGGCAAATAGTTTGTTCTGTGGACCATCTGAATCGGGCCCATATCTTATACCTGGGATCAACACAAAAGCATGTTTACACCCACAACACATTGTAATGTTGCTTATTGAATTTCATTCAATAATCAAAACTTAGTATAGGACTTAAAACAAATAGACTTTATATCTAGAAAGAAAACAAAATTATTCAGCACAGAGAATGGGAAATAAGGAATTATTATTATTATTATTATATGATATATTTATATAATTATGTATGATGTATATAATTATGTATGTAATGTATATAATAATTAATAGAATTATATTATCATAAGACCAATGTAAAGTATTCTATGGAAAATTGAAGATATCTAACATAAATGCACACACACAGAACTATACAATATAAAAGATACATAGAAATTATGAATTATTTGATCAATAAATATATGATACTGATTATTGTTATTGTGATCACATTTGAAATTATGTGAAAAGGAAGTAAAGTAGAATCAAAACATGAAATTCCAGGTGGAATGAAGGCATCTCCAGAATGCTCTGTTATACTGGGACCTCATTATCAAAGTGATATACTTCACTTTTGTGACATTATGATCAAAAAAAGGTTAACACAGTTTATAGAAATGTGTATGCAAATAAAATATTTGTCAATTTTAATATATAACAATTCATTTTCATACAAATAAATGCTCAGATACAGATGAATACCAGACAACTTCTTTTAAGCTTCAACTCACAAAACTAAAATTAAAACGACCCTAAGATTTCACCTTACACCTATCAGAATGGCTAAGATAAAAAAACCAAGTGATAACACATGCTGGAGAGGATTTGGAGAAAGGGGAGCCCTCCTCCACTGCTGGTGGGAATGTAAACTTTTACAACCATTTTGGAAATCAATCTAGACCTTTCACAGAAAATTAGGAATAGTGCTACCTCAAGATCCAGTAATAGCACTTCTAGGCATATATCCAAAATATGCTCAAGTACAACAAGGACATTTGCTCAACCATGTTCATAGCAGCTTTATTCATAATAAACAGAATCTGGTAATCCAGATGTCCCTCAATTGAGGAATGGCTACAGAAATTGTGGTACTTTTACACAATGGAATACTACTCAGCAATTAAAAACAAGGAAATCATGAAATTTGCAGACAAATGGTGAGATCTAGAAAAGATCATCCTGAATGAGGTATCCCTGAATCAGAAAGACACACATGGTATATGTTCACTTGTAAGTGAATATTAGACATAAAATATAGGATTAACATACTAAAATCTGTAAACCTAAAGAAGCTAAGCAAGAAGCTAAGAGGACCCAGGGTAAGATGATCAGTCCTCATTCACAAAGGCAAAAGTGATAGACATCAGAAGAGGGAGAAAACAGGGAATTGGGCAGGAGGCACCTAGAGGGCCTCTGAAAGACTCTACCCAGCAGGGTATAAAAGCAGATGCTGAGACTCATAGCCAAACTTTGGGCAAAGTGGAGGAAATCTTATGAAATAAGGGGAGATAGAAAGACATGGAGAGAATAGGAGGTCCACAAGGAGACAACAGAACCAAAAATTCTGGGCCCAATGGTCATTTCTGAGACAGATACTCCAGCCAAAGACCATGCATGGAGATGACTTAGAATTCCTTCAGAGATATAACCCATTGCAGCTCAGTGTCCAAATGGATTCCTAAGTAAGGGGAACAGGGGCTGTTTCTGACATGAACTCAGTGATTGGCTCTTTGATCACCAACCCCTGAGGGGAAAACAGCTTTATCAGGCCAAAGAGGAAGACTATGAAAGACAGTCCTTGTGAGACCTGATAGACTAGGGTCAGAAGGAATGGGAGGAGGATCTCCCTATCAGTGAACTGAAGAAGGGACATGGGAGGAAAAGAGGAAGGGAGTACTGGATTGGGAGGGGATTTGGGAGAGGGATACAGTTGGGATACATAGTGAATAAATTGTAATAAATTTTAAAAAATAGAATAAAAAGACATCCATCATCACAAAACCAAAATCAACTAAGACAACTGTCAGTGTGTTCATTCGCACTCAATATATACATTGCTACCCTTTTAGGTCTACACACTTTAAAAGAATTTTCCTATGCTACCACATTTCTTCACATTTTTTTCTGTTGTTGGTTTTTCGAATCCATCTCCTCTTCAGAGAAAAGTAGTTCTTTACTATTTTCTTCACTGAAACAATCATTTAAATGTATTTTTTTGTGTGTGTGGAGTAGGGTAACATTTAACATCCCGTGACTTCTATGAGAAGTTACTGTGTATCCTTTTTCCTGTCTTTCTTAGGGCATATTTTACATCTTTATTTCTCAAGCTGTATATCAAGGGATTCAACATGGGGATAATTAAAGTATAAAATATGGAAGCCACTTTATCAGTCTCAAAGGAGTGGCTGGTCTTAGGTTGCACATACATAAATATCAAAGTCCCATAGAAGACAGTGACCACTGTCAGGTGGGACCCACAGGTGGATAAAGCTTTGCGTCTGCCCTCAGCAGATTTCATCTTGAGAATGGCTATGAGAATAAGCAGATAAGAGACAAGGATAACCAGAAGAGAGGAAATCAAGTTAATAGCAGATAAAATTAAAATTATCATTTCAATTTCATTTGTATTTGAGCAGAGTAGAGATATCAAGGGAAGACCATCACAGTAAAAATGAGGGATAACATTGTAGCCACAGAAGGATGAAGAGAAAATATTTATGGTGACTATAAGAGAAATAAACACGCTATAAATGTATGGGACTGCCACCAGTACCCAACATATATGTTGTGACATGATGACATTGTAGAGCAGAGGGTTACAGATGGCTGCATAGCGATCATAGGACATCACAGATAGAATAAAAAGTTCACAGGCAATGAACAGAAGGAAAAAGGCTAATTGTGTAGCACAAAGATGAAAGGATATCATATTTTTGCTGACAACAAAATTTGTTAACATTTTAGGTCCGATAGCAGTTGAGTAACCAAGATCAGTGATAGCCAGGTGTCTAAGAAAGAAGTACATGGGTGTTTGCAGCCTGGAATCCACCATGGTGAGGATGATCAGGCCCACGTTGCCCACCAGTGAGACCAGATAGATGATGAGGAACAGTCCAAACAGTGGTGTCTGCAGTTCAAGGCGGTCAGTGATGCCCATCAGGATAAATTCAGTCACTACTGTGAGGTTTCGGCCCTCCATCCGGGTTTATTAAAAACAAGTTCTGAATAGAGACCATACCATAGTCAAGAGATTTCAGATATTATCATTTACTGGAATTTGTTATTAAAAGTAGATTAAATATGGTGTACATTAACATTTAAACTATTTTTAGAAATAAACCTACTACAACAAAGATGTACTATGCACATCTATGCACACACACTGGACAAACGTGTAGCTTTTAATGAACAAAGACATAGATAGAAATCTTCAGTTCTCAACTAGTGAGAAATTAATTAGAGAATAACATGATTCTTTGGCAATAATACTTGGTTCCTCCAAATGGGATGTGAGCTATTTCTTTAATCTAGTAGGTTAACAGTAGTCAATATGGAAAGCAATCCTCTTCTGACATCAAATTTATAGCACTGACAATATCCATGCTCAAACTCTGTTATTTTCAGGATCTATTAATGTTGCTAGATTGTAAGATGTATATGTATAGATGGATATATATATATATATATAATAAATATTCTATGTGTATATATGCATTTAAATATATTTATACATAAATATACCTATATTCAAAACCTTCAAATTGTAGATAGTCGGATTTACACAGAAATTGATATAATTTTTCTTTTGCTTTTATTTTTGAATGGTCACAATAAATTGTGACTTTTAACAATTGTATATTTGTAATGTCATGTAAGGTGCATGCTAATAACATTACACATACCTCCTGAAATATTTCATGAGTAGATCAAGAGAATCTTAAGGCATACAGGTGGAACATCCAGAGCTATTATAATAATTCCCATTAGTCACATGTAAGCTCACTCAGAGTTATCTTTATTTGAATTAACCAAAGAGCTTGTAAGTGAATCTGTGCAATGCTCTTACACACTGACCTATAAAATGTAACTTTTCCTTTGGGAATATAAGGTAAGATGTTTACATTTTTTGGCATATATAATATCAAGAAGTCTCAATATGACCTTTTGAAACTGAAGAGTTTGTGACCCTGGGAGCTCCCTGGACATATTTCACAAAGATGATGAAGACAATGATTTCAAACAGTTACTGGTTATATTACATTACCTGATTTTTTCTTAAATATGTGTGCACGCACATCCTACAGGTTAGGGGTGGGGCCTCTTTGCTAGATCTGTAATAATGAAAAGTTGAGGAATTGGTTATGAAGAACTGGGTACATACAAGCTACCCTAGTCTGTATCTATCTCAGCCAAGAGGAAATATTCATAGTTTGATTTTATTTTGAATTAATTTTTGCTACATTACTATGTCAGTAAAACTTTTAAGTGAGTTTCTTTTATATAAATTAATATTTTCCTGAGAAGGGACATTTTATTCTAACATAATCTATTTTATTGCCTTAAGTCAGACACAGGCTACAGCATTGAATCTAGAAAAATATAAAGAAATAAGGGGAAAATTAAGAGAGTTTGTTAAAATTCTCTTATTACCAAACTCTCAAAAGCTCCTTTTCAAGAAGAAGTACTATCTTACAAACAACATAATTTTTATAACAACATTTTAAGTATGTCTGCCCACTGTTGTGATGTATGTTTAATTTCTGGTTCTGTTAACTGTGGGTTATATACCACAAAACCAAACCAAACTGCCACAGTATGGCATTTGCATGGATGCAGTTGCAGGACAAAAGTCTTTCCTCTGGTTAACTCACAGAGATGTCTTCCAAACATGACCTAGAACACATTGCAAAACATTTCTAGACTCTGGAAAGAGTATCTGAACATTCTCATGCACCTGAAGAGAGAAACAGTTACTACTTCTATAAAATTATGTATGTATGTCTCAACAGTTTTTTATATTAAATGATTAAAATGCTTTACATTTGTAATCATGGTGGAAACTTCAGTCTCAAGGAATATGGCGGCAGCAGCCAGTGGTTCTCACGTTTCTGTGTAAAGGTGAACATATTTACCTTGTGCTTCACTCACTGAAAAAGTTGTTTATAAAGTGTTGCCTGATATTCTTCCATTTACCATTATACACTTTATATGTGAAATATGTAAAATTATGAATCATCACTTAACTGAAACTACCCAATATTCATCCCTTCTGTGTTGGTTTGATTTGAAATGGTAAATAGGTTAAAAAATGTAGAGGAATTTTTGTCCAGCAATAATATTTATATATTTCATGTGTGTGTGCATGTGCAGAGACCAGAGAACAAATAAATGAGTCAGTTCTTCCTTTACACTGTGGTAGCCTCCTGCTCACTGAAGGCCATAGAGAGAGAAGATGTAGGCAGTCTTAATGAAACTTGATAGGTGGGGTCAGAAGAGGGCTCCGCCTTTCAGAAAAATAGGGGAGAGGAATGGGGGAAAGAGGAAGGAAGGGGACTACAATCAGATGTAAAGTGAATAAACTGTAAAAATTTAAATAAAAAAACTAGAAAAGATCATCCTGAGTGAGGTAACCTAAAATCGGAAAGACACACATGAAATGTACTCACTTACAAACAGATAATAGCCATATAATACTAGGAAACCATACTACAATCCACAGACCTAAGGAAGCTAAACAACAGGAGGTTTCTAGGGAGAATGCTTAATTCTCATTCAAAAGGGCCAATAGAATAGACACCAGAAACAGTTGAAGAGAGGGAACAGGATGGGAGCCTACCGTTAATGTCCTTTGCAAGGATATCATTTTGAGACTAGAGAAGAAAAATAAAATAAAAATACTTGAGAAAACATTTTCATCTAGGCAGCATAGCAAGGAATAAATCCTTGCTTCTTTCCTTTCTTTTTTGATTTTTTGAAACAGGGTTTTTTGTGTACCCTTGACTGTCCTGGACTTGCTTTGTAGACAGGCTGACCTGAAACTCATAGAGATTCACCTACCTCTGCCTCCTGGAGTGCTGAGATTACAAGCGTGCACTACTGTGACCAGCCTGCCTTTTCTTGTTAATCTGTGAAACAGTATTTACCAGTTTGGATTCATATCTATCCCACCAGTACCACATGTTCCCTGTGAGTTACAGAAAATTTTTTTAAAATCCTATTATTTGGTCTGCAGAACATACTGCTACAGAAGAATCATCATATTGTGAAAGGAATAACCTAAACAGTATCCTTTCTTTGCTACTTCAAAAGTCAAGTTCAAAGAAGTTTAAAATACCTTGCCCTGAATACCACGTAACATTGCAAAGCATGTTCTGAGCTCTCCTTTTAAAAAAAATCTAACACATACTCACTTGTGTCAGAAAATATGAAGTAGTAGCACTCTGAAAAGTGAAGGTGGAAAAATTAAGGAGAAAGAGATTTACTTAATTTCCATTCATCCAACTAAGAAGGCCCATGATTTTTCTAATGAGGCCAGAAGGGTTCATTAGTATTTTGGAATCAGCAATTACAGAATGGGGGGGGAACATTTACCTTTAAGAAAATTGTAGTGCTCAATGAGGATATAGGAACTTTTCTGTAAAGCCACTTGAACACAGTAAACAAAAGTTGTCTCAACAAAACATTCTCAGAACCATCCACACTGGAGTTGGGATTGTCTCGGGATTTTCATGCAGTCCAGGATTTGTATTATGTAGGTTGAGACAGTAAGAATTTTAGTGCTCTATAACTCCTTTTTGTTTCACTAAGTGAATGCAAATTATTGTACAACATAAGCATCTGTGTCAGGAAGCCCAAAACAATGGCGCTTTTACTAATTTGGAGTAGGAAACACTTAAAGAAATGCTCAACCTCATTAGCCATCAGGGAAATGCAAATCAAAACGACCCTAAGATTTCATCCTACACCCATCAAAATGGCTAAGAGCAAAAACTCAAGAGACAACACATGCTGGAGAGGTTGTGGAGAAAGGGGAACCCTCCTCCACTGCTGGTGGGAATGTAAACTTGTACAACCACTCTGGAAAGCAATCTGGCGCTTTCTCAGACAACTAGGAATAGCGCTTCCTCAAGATCCAGCTATACCACTCCTAGGCATATTACCAAAAGATTCTCAAGTACAGTAAGGACATTTGCTCAACCATGTTTGTAGCAGCCTTATTTGTAATAGCCAGAAGCTGCAAACAGCCCAGATGCCCCTCAGTGGAGGAATGGATGCACAAATTGTGGTATATCTACACAATGGAATATTACTCAGCAATAAAAACAAGGAAATCATGAAATTTGCAGGTAAATGGTGGGATCTGGAAAAGATCATCCTGAGTGAGCTATCCCAGAATGCAAGCAGAAAGATGCACACGGTATATACTCACTCATATAGACATATAATATAGGATAAACCTACTAAAATCTGTACACCTAAAGAAACTAATTAAGAGGAGAAAGAAAGAAAGAAAGAAAGAAAGAAAGAAAGAAAGAAAGAAAGAAAGAAAGAAAGAAAGAAAGAAAGGAGGGAGGGAGGGAGGGAGGGAGGGAGGGAGGGAGGGAAAGGAAGGAAGGAAGGAAGGAAGGAAGGAAGGAAGGAAGGAAGGAAGGAAGAGAGAAAGTTGCCATAAATTATTTAGTTGGTTTTGGCAATATAAATCAAATCAAATAATGGTAAATTAAAAAGTTACAGTCCACAAAAAATAGTTTTAAAATAATTTTAAAATTAATGCAATTTTATTTGGGAATAAAAGTTAACAGGGAAAGGTAGCATGATTAAAATTTTCATTTACTTTATTTTGAAGTATCTACAGAATATAAAAGTATAATTTACGCCCTTACAAATGGACAAACAACAGTCAAGGAGTTCTGTAAGCAACATGAAGAACGCTCCTCAAAAACGTAAGTCCTCTTAGAGCTAGCACGCCATCTCTGTTCCTCATCATTTTGTATTTGGGGTAAATCATTAAGTGTAAATTTGGCAATTACTGTAGTGATAATCAGTTTCTCACTTTGGTCATCTGTACATGACAAGCTTGGTTCTGCAGCTGTCAATTGATGCAACAGAGACATTTCCAATTCTCTCTAGGTTCCTAAAAATAAAACACTAATATTTTAACAAATATTGAGGTTTCTGAAGAATGGAACAATCTAACTT